CAGGCTTTCCTCGGGCCTCGCCGCGCCGCCCATCCTCCACGCGCGAGTCGACTAAGTCCACACAACGCATAACAGTACCCCAACACTGAAGGAAATTCCAAAACCTCCCGCCTTTGAGGTCGCACCGGCAGCAGACCCGCACTCTCGCGGCGTCAGCGCAGGACCGCAGCTTCTCAGCCCCAGACGACATGGGTCTTCTCAACGGCGCCTTATGTCTACACTGGCTTCTGGCTCCATAGAAGTAACCGTGAGCAACGCCCAGCTGACTGCCAAATCGACCTGCCAAAGACCCTGCACAGAACGGCCTTCCTTCAGCTCGGGCCGCCCGGCGGCCGCCTTCGGACGACCCGCGGGCACACCAGGGACCCTCTCGACGAGGCGCCGCTGCTGAAGAGCCTCCCGAGGCTGAAACAGAAACCTGGTCCAACGAACAATATAGAGCGGGCAGAACCTCCACCCCCAAGAATGACCACCCCGACAAGCGAAGCCGTTTGGCAAACGCACCCCATGAGAGAATCGAACATGGCAAGGCTTTTAGAACACGCCCAGGAACGTTTCGTAAACGCCGATTGTCCGGTCTCGGTGGCTTTTCCTCCCTGGAATCACACGTCTGAGAACCTGCGGCCGAGGCTGGAAGGAGCCCCTGGCCAAACGAACAACAAAACGTCCCAGAGCCTGCGGCCGCGTCGCCCTCGTCCGCGACGCCAGCGCCGCCGCGCGCGGGGGGGGCCCCAGACCTCCGAGACTTGTTGATTTTTTCCGCTGTCGCGGAGGGGCAGCGACAGGGGAGGGCCAGCTCCGGGGGCGGGGAACCATCGACGCGGCATTGGCGATACACCGCCGACGTGCCATCCATCGAGCAGGGTCCGACCGTCCCAGAATACCCATTGGCCAACCGCGAGTTATTTGATTGCTTGAAGAAAGAAAACAACCAAAATAAATACATGCGAGCAAAAACCCAGACATGTTTTCATAATAAAGAAGGTGTTATAACATAAACCCGATGAGTTACATCAAGGCAGTCTCAGCCGGACATGTGTCAATAACACTTCGTGCAGACCACACAACAGGTTCTCAGAACATCCTCCAGTGGGCCTAGACTAGGGAAACAAAAAGTGACATCAACATAATAACTCGGGGGTCCGCGCGGATTTCTCGGATCGGCGCTGGACCCCCCTCCCTGGCGCGCTCCGCGCGCCAGGGGCGGCGCCGGAGGCGCCGGCGGGGTGCCCCAGCGCCGATCCGAGAAATCCGCGCGGACCTCCGAGTTGTTATGTTTATGCCACTTTTTGTTCCCCTATATACGCGAGCCCAGGACCCTTCGCCACGGCTCGAACCCACACGGCTCCGCCGCCTCCTCCTCCTCCGGAGGCTGGCGCCAGGCCTGCAATTTCGAGTGGCCAGGCAGGTGCCGGCCACTCGCAAGCGTGGCCCTGGGCAAGAGTGACCTCTGGTGCGCGGCTCCACGGGGGACGCTGGAGCGCCAAGCCCAGGCGCGCATGCGCGAATGCCACCGCTTCGCGCTCGGCGATCGGGGGACCCCACTGGGCCCGCACCAGTGGTCACCCCGGCGAGAGGTCACTCTTACGTCTAGTCGAAGGTGGGCCTCGGCCGCAGGCGCCACGGAGGCGCACCCTCGGCGCCGAGGGGCACTTCCAGGAGGAAAGGGGAGACAGGGGCAGGGGGCGTGATGATGACAAAACGCTGATTTTTCTGTTCTGCGCGCGGCCCCCCTCTGGCGGGGCCGATGATGACAAAACGCTGATTTTTCTGTTCTGCGCGCGGCCCCCCTCTGGCGGGGCCGATGATGACAAAACGCTGATTTTTCTGCTCTGCGCGCGGCCCCCCTCTGGCGGGGCCCTCTGGAATCGATCTGGGGCTGGGCCCCCGCGACGGACGTGGGCGCTGCAAGACCTGTGGCGTGCGCCCACGGCCGGGCAGCTGGGCTGAACGGCAGCGTTGGTGCAGCGAGCGCTCGGGCCCGCACCGCGCGGCAGCCGCTCGAGGAGGGGCAGAAGCCAGCCCGCACGGAGGAGGAGGGGGTAGCAGGATGAGGAGGAGGAGGAGGAGGAGGAGGAGGAGGAGGAGGGGAGGAGGAGGAGGAGGAGGAGGAGGAGGAGGAGGAGGAGGAGGAGGAGGAGGAGGAGGAGGAGAAGGAGGAGGAGGAGGAGGAGGAGGCACAGACGTCGAGCCGGCCGCGCGGGCTGCGGGTACGCAGCCGGGCGGCCCGCAACGCGGAGCGCGGGCGGGCCGGCGGACAAAACTGGGCGCTCCCGGGGCGCTCCCCACGCTCCGCGCGCGGGAGCCCCCGCGTGCGCACAAAAGAAGCCTCGGGGAGGTCTGCGCGGGGCCTCCGAGGAAGCCCCGCCGCCGGCCGAGAGGCTGCTCCCACCGAGGAGCCCGGCCGCCTCCCCGGGGCGCTCCGCGCTGCTCGGGGAGGCTGCCGCCTGTCTTCTCCGCGGCGCCCGCGACACCGCGCGAGCTGCACGCCTCTCCGGGCTCAGGCGGCGAACTCGTTGGCCGCGGCGTACTCGAGCCCCGCTGCGATCTCCTCCTTCAGCACGGGCTTGAGCGCCTCCAGGCGCCCCTTCTCGTAGTCGCTCAGGGGCCCCAGGTCGTGCACGGTCTCCACGCCGTTCTTGCCGAAGGTCACCTTGGAGGCAAAGTATGGCAGGTCCGTGATCGTGGACTCCACGTAGGCGCACTCCGTCACGGGCGTGCCCGCCAGGCCAGACAACACGGCCCTGCCGAGGCGGGCACCCGCAAAGGCCATGGAGAGGGTGGCGCTGCCCTTGCCGTTCTTCGCGGCCACCACGACGGTGCCCGCGTCCTGCACCTTCTTGTCCAGGTCGGGGACCTTGTCCGCTGGTATGGTCGCCCCCGCCGCGTCCTGGGAGAAGAGCGGCAGGATCGTGGTGCCCGCGTGTCCCCCGATGACCGGGATGGATATGCCACCGACGGGCTGCCCGGTGACCTCGTGCACGAACTTCTCCGCGCGGACGCAGTCCAGCGTGGTGATGCCGACGATCTTCTTCGGGTTCAGGCCCTTCTTCTTCCAGAGCTCGCACATCGCCGGCACCACCGAGTTCACGGGGTTGACGATCAAGGCCACGACGGCGTCGGGGCAGAACTTGGCGCAGGCCTCCACGATGTTCTTCGCGATGCCCGCGTTGATGTTCAGCAGGTCCTTGCGGTCCTGTCCAGGCTTGCGCGGGACGCCCGCGGGTATCAGCACGAGGCTGCACCCGGTGAGGCACTCCTCGGCCTTGTCGATGGCGCGGTCGTCCTTGTCGAAGGCGTAGCCCTTGACCACGGCCTTATGGTTGAGGTGCGACAGGTCGGCCGCCACACCCTCCGCGGGCACCATGGCCAGGGTCAGGTCGTACACGCACAGCTCCGACACGTTGGGGTCCATGGCCATCAGCAGCGACAGGGGCTGCCCGATGCCGCCCGCGCCGCCGACCACGCAGACCTTGTAGTTGGCCATTGCTGTGTCTGTGGCGGGCTCGGTCGCGTCAAGGGGTCAAGGGCAGGGCGGTGCACTTGAGCCAAAATGGCCACGGATGATGATGACGATTCTGATGATGGAGAGGCGGGTAAGCGAGATAAGCACAAGACAAAGGTGAGGGGCACGAGTCGGGTCGGGCGAAAGGGGGGGATAGCAAAGGGGGGTTTGAGAATCAGCTCACGTAGCTGATTTTCCCGGCGCCTCCCGGCGCCAGAGGCGGCTATGTATCGAGGAATGGGCACCTCGGTGAGGCCGAAACCAGCTGCATGCAGCAAATTTCGTACCCCCCCCTTTCCCAATCCCCCCCTTTCGTCCGGCCCGAACGAGGAGGATGAAGGACGAGGAACGAGGACGGAGGCCGGGGCACACGAGCAGCCGAACGATGAGAAACAAGGACGAGGACCAGGAAGAGCACGGAGGAAGAGGATGAGGATGAGTTCGAGGAAGATCATGGGGAAGGACTTGATGGGCAGTGGAAGGCGGCGGGGGCAGAAGAGGACCCCCGGGATGGGCGAACGCCGCCGGCGGTGCTCTCGGCGGCGGCTCCGAGGGTGGGGCGCCGCGGGGGGCCGTGCACCCAACCTGTCCCCTCGCGCCACTATGTTCCGCGTCGGGATCGGTGAGACGATGCTCAGTGGCCCGATGTCTCTACGATCTCTCGATTCGATGCCCGCGAGACCTGCCCTTGCTGCCATCCTGGCCGCCCGCAGGTGAAGAGGCCCCAGGACACACAAATAAATACACACAAATAAAATGATCCCCCATATTTTCCCATATTTTCCGGGTTTCTGTCTTCCCTCCTGATTCCCTTATTTTCCCATGTTTTCCTGGGACTCGACGATTCATTGTGTCTGTGTGCTTTTTTCCCCTCCTGAACAGGCCGCTCCGCCTCGCGGGCGCCCTGCGCGCGGACGCGCCGCAGCGCTCGCCCGAGGGGGTCAAGCCAGGCGCTGGGAACCCGCCCAGCAAGAGCGCGCGGGGCCCGCGTGGAATCCGCGCCGAGCCCACGGCGGGTACAGTCGACGTCTATAGTAGGACCACGAAAAAAACACATCCCCAATCCCAACATCGCGGATTCGCCGAGGATTCGAAGATCGGCCAAAGATTTCGGGGTATGTCCTGCGTTCGTCGTCGTCACCCTGGTAAGACCCTACCCCCAAAATCTCCCTCCCCGAAGTCTCGAGGTGTCTGCGTTTTGTCTTGGCCCCCGCGTTTTTGGGATTGGGCGTTTGTTTTGAGTTAGTGATAGTAAGGACGGGCGGTGAGGACGCAAGGGCCTTGGACGCCGAAGGTGGCACTTGTTGGGCGGCGGACAGTCAGCACCCTGAGGGCTGGCCAATGAAAACCGCGATGGACGGGCCGCAGAGGCAAGGACGCAAGGGGACGTCCGTGCGTCCTCACTGAATTCTGACTGTGCAGGAGAGTGGTCCAATTCGCAGGACAGGCAAAGCCCCCGAAGATGTCATGTAGCACCTGACCTGCCCCCCGCCCCCCCCCCCCCCCCATAGCAAGGTGGCGGATGGGCGTCGCAACGCAGCCGGATAGGATAAGCAAGTACTGGGGGGACGAAGGAATGCTTGGCTGGCGGAGTGAAGGGGAACGATTGGAATTATGATCCCAACGAGGGCCTATGACATAGAGCTGGTTGGGCACTGGCTCGTCGAAGTGCAGGAATGAAGCGATTGCATCACCTGTGGAACAATATCTATCTCTGCCGTGCCAAAACCAAGAAGTCGCAAGTCACGCTGGAGTCTTCAACGCTGGCAAGAAGAGTGCTGGATAGCGTGTGACAACACTAGCTGCACCGATCGTCAATGGCAAGCCTTGTGCAGAACACTCACGCAGACGCTGGCGCCTGTGGCATGAGCACATCATGGTCTACAATCTGCCACGTGGTACGCCTGGCCCTGCTTATCGTATCCTTGGCCCTGTCCCCTGTCTGCCGGACCCCAGCCCCCATCGGCAGCAATCGTGCCCCCCATGGCGCATGCGCGAGTGCACGTGCTCTCCTCCTCCGTCCGGTGCGAGGCCGCCAGCAGCGGAGCAGGTTGAGAGACGCGTCACCGTACAGTGCTCGAGGCAGAGGATGGGGCCTCGGGGCGAGCGCTGGCTGCGTCTGCTCTCGCAGCCCCGGGGGGCACGCGGCATCGCTGCGCACGGCGATCACTTGCCGACGAGACGACCAAACGTCCGTGCAAGGGGCCGTGGTGTTCATTGTCCGGGTTGGCACAGGCAGCAAGACAACGAACAGAAAGAGGAGGGGAAACGGGAAGAATATCCAGAGAAAGAGAATCATCACCAGTATCAAAGAGGAAGGGGAGGAGGAGAGGAGGAGGAGGAGGAGGAGGAGGAGGAGGAGGAGGAGGAGGAGGAGGAAGAGGAGGAGGAGGAGGAGGAGGAGGAGGTGGAGGAATAGGAGGAGGAGGAGGAGGAGGAATAGGAGGAGGAGGAGGAAGAGGAGGAGAAGGAGGAGGAGGAGGAGGAATACGAGGAGAAAACAAGGAGGAATATTAGGCCGATACAGAAAAAGGTGCAGACAATATGCCTGTAGTAACGCGTTGTTCCCCCCAAAGGTGACGGGGTCGGAAAATTGCTCAACATTCGGCATCATCGCCCTACGTTCAAACATTATATTTGGGATCTTATCGGCGTCATGTAACCTGGACAACCACGCAACAATTCATGGGTCGGGCTGTTTCGATTCCCCCTTCCTCTGTGCAAGATGCTATGGTCTCGATTGACCCTTACAACGGTGCGATGGCGGAAGCAAGATGGGGGGGAGGTGACGACGAGACCCCTTTTTCGAATCGCGGTTTCGGGAGCCTTGGCTCAGGGCCTCTACCACTCCCAGGAACTTGATGCCCCAAGGTGGCGGGTGTTTTTGTTTTAAAAAATAGAAATTATCCCAGTGCGACCCTACCTAGGAGTTGGAACCCCTAGGAAAGCAGCATTCGTAGTAACAGTGACGCTAAGCTAAAGCTAAGCTAAAGCTAAGCTAAAGCTAAGCCACAGCTAAGCTAAAGCTAAGCTAAAGCTAAGCTAAAGCTAAGCTCAAGCTAAGCTCAAGCTAAGCTAAAGCTAAGCTAAAGCTAAGCTAAACGCTAAGCGAAACGCTAAGCGAAACGCTAAGCTAAAGCTAAGCTACAGCTAAGCTAAAGCTAAGCTAAAGCTAAGCTAAAGCTAAAGCTAAAGCTAAAGCTCCCAGGGGACTGGGGGGAACCGCTCCCAGGGGACTGGGGGAACCGCCCGGGGCGTGTTGCACTGCCCGGCCCCTTTACGCTAAGAGAGTAAGAACCCTTCTAGGCAGAGCCTAGGTAGGGAAAAAAAGGCTGGACGCATGAGCACACATGAGAATGCGCTTACGCGTCGGTTCACAGAGGCGTATCCTCGATGGACGGCCCCAACATCCGCCACGTCTAGAGAGGTCCCCAGTTCACCCCGGGTCTCGTCTCCCCCTCATCTTGGCGTCTCGATGCCATCGTATGGGGGGGAGGGGGGCATCAAGTTCCACGGAGTGGCAGGGGTCCTGGGCGCCCGGGGCCGCCATTCGAAAAAGGGATATCACCGTCACCTCCTCCCCCCTTGTTTCCACCTTCGCACCGCTATTAGGGAGAACATGCGAGATTGGCGCGCGCGGGTGCTGAAGATCAGCTCGGCCGTCCCGAGCGCGGCCAGATGCTCTCCTGCTCGAGGTCGCCATGACCAGTGTTGACTATATCCGCCTGCTCGGACGGCGCGTGCTCCTGGGGGCGTTCAATTGGCTCGACCTCCTCGTCGCTGGCCTCCGACGTGCACCCCTTGTCGGTGGTGGCCTGGGGCGGGAAGACGATGGCCCGATGCCCCCATGCACGCGTCGGCGCCTTTCGCGTGCCACCTGTGGCCCCAGTTCTTGCTGACGCAATTCCAGCGGCCGTCTTCCGTGGCGCCTCTGGGTGCATCCTGCTGCGACAGGAGCATGCGCCGCGCCCGCGCTTTCGGCCCGAGGGGGGGCCGCTTCCAGCGCGGGCGGGAATATGCACATGATGTACTCGTCGCCGCCGTGGGAGATCGGGAAGCTGGCCGCGGTTCCCAGACGCCCATGTTTCAAGATGGCCTTGACAACCTCCTCCAGGTTGACGTTCTGAACGACCGTCCTCTATAGATTTTGAGTTCCGCGTGCAAGGCGCGGCGAATGATCGCATCCTGCAGGGACTGGGATGTGTTCTTCTGTTTGTTCCTCACATGGTACCACCCGTGTTTCAAGCTCATGCATCCTAGCCTGATCCGAGAGAGCGTGACCCACCGCCGCTTTACTGTGGAAAATTGCAGCCCTTTTCCTCCGGAGCACGCTCCCCCCCTTCTCCGAAAATCCCCCCCCCTGTTGGACCCCCCCCCCTCCCCTCCCCGGCAAACCCCCCCTCTCCCCCCCCCCCCCCTCCCCCTCGAAAACCGGGGGGGGTCACTTCCGGTTCGACCCCCCCCCTTCGAAAACCGGAGGGGGGGTCACTACCGGTTCGAACCCCTCCCCCCCCCCCCTCACCGCCAGCAAACGACTCCCGGTCCCTACCACCGTCCGCATCACATCCCCCACTGTTGTTCCCAGCACCACTGTCCTCACCACCACTGTCCCCACTGGTTCCACCACCGTCCCTACTGTCCCCACCAGTGCCCCCACCACTGTCGCACTGTCCCCACTGTCCCCACCACTGTTCCCACCACGGTTCCACTCTCCCCACTTTCTCCACGGCCCCAACCACTGCCCGACTATCCCCACTGTCCCCACTGTCCCACTGACTCCTCCGCTGTCCCACTGAGCTGTCCCACTGTTCCCACCACTGTCCCCACTGTCCCCACCACTGTCCCCACTGTACCTCTGTCCCATTGTCCCACCGCCGTCCTCGCCACCGCCTTCACCACTGTCCCCACCACCACTGTACCCTCCACTGTCCCACTGTTTCCACCTCATTCCCACTGTCCCCACACCACTGTCCCCACCACCACCGTCCCCACCACTGTCCACTGTCCCCACTGTTCCCACCATTGTCCTCACCACTGTCCCCACCACTACCGTCCCCACCACTGTCCCACTGTCCCCACCACTGTCCCGCTGTCCCCTCACCACTGTCCCCACCATCACCGTCACCACCACTGTCCGCACCCCCACTCGGTTTTCAGGGGGGGGGGGGGGGGTTCGAACCGGCAGTGACCCCCCCCGGTTTTCGAGGGAGGGAGGGGTGGGGAGGGCTCGAACCGGTAGTGACCCCCCCCCCCTTTGCATGATGACCGGGGGGGGGGGAGGGGTTCGAACCGGTAGTGACCCCCCCTGGTTTTCCGGAGGGGGGGAGGGGGAGGCAGGGGTTCGAACCGGTAGTGACCCCACCCGGTTTTCCGCCAACAACGGTAGAACACGCTCTTTCGGAAATCCGGGTCAGCGTGCTTTTTGCTGCCGTGGCATTGGTAACACATGTCGTGGCAGGGATTCGACGGATCGGGGATCCAGTTGACGAGCGTCTGCCTGTATTCGCCGCCCATGGCCCCGGCGACGTGCTCGTGCGCAAGGATCGAACCATTTGCTGGCAGGCAAGGTCCTCGCCATGGCCGTAGGCATGGGGGTGGTTGGACATCAAACCGCACTCCTCTTTACAATCATGGCGCACGATTGGGTCGCGCGCGGTGACGCGACCGCCCGAACAACCAGATAATGCCGTCAAAGCTCTTGACCGAAGGAGACAATTTCACCTCGGGGTGATCCTCGGGCCCACGACCCCTCGCGAACCTCGCGCCACTCACCATACGCTTGCCTCGCGGGCGACAAAAGGAACGACTTGCCCGCGTGTGGGCCAGGCTCCCGTCCCGAAAGGTCGTATGGAACTCTGCCGCCGCACGCGGTCGCCTCTCCCGTGCCGCCACTCGCGTCGGTGTCACTCAATGTTTTTCTGCGTGCCCGCGGGGCGACCCAAGCTCCAACATTGCAGGCGGGAAGGAAGTCTTTCTCACTGACCCGCCGCAGCGTGGCGTCGAGGGCGCACGGCCCAAAGGCCGGCTTCACGGCCGAGCGCCTGAGCCCAGTTGGTACTGCACGGAGGTTCCATACACCACCCCCACGCTTGGCCAAGGCCATCGTCGGACCTGGCATTGAGTATACGCCCTCCTGGCCGAGGCCAGAAGTTCTATACACCATCCTGGGGTCCAAGGTCGCCTACGGCCTTAGCCAGGAACGGTGGTGATGTACTGAAGCCTTCTGAGGGTTTCCTGGCCTGTGGAAGACTCGCAGGGCGAATTGAAGAGCAACTTGCATTCGACGGCCCGACTGGGCCAAAGTCAGACCGAACACGCGACCGACGTATTTCACAAACATATGCGACATTCCCAAGTTGAAAGTTGTCGGGCATGTCCTCCGACAGGGGTGCCTTGGAGAAACGTATAACAATAGTCAAACAATACCAACGTCAACAAATAAGCAGAAACAGTAATCACCTGCAAATGGTTGTACTGCTCATGAATATTCCTCATGTAGAATTGCCGCTTTTGACAACAAGCGCCAACCGCTGCCAAATGTGCGAGGGTATCCCGCATCTTCGCTCCTTTGAGATCCAAGGGTGCGTTCACGAAGAGCCCGGAAGGTTGCGGCAGGCATACTCGAGGTCCCTCCATGGCAGACCACGACAGCACCGCAACCATGATTTGTTACGGTCCGACTGCCAAGCCAAACAAGCGCGCAACCCACAATGCAGTCCCGTTCCCTTTCTTCGCCTTCTTCTCCCTTTCTTTCTCCTCCTCCGCCCAAAACCTGGGGGAGCGAGTGTGCACAAAAGGCACATGGGGGCTCCCGAACCAAAAAACAAAGCTTAACTGAGGGCGTGGGCAGAACGCGTGCTGCTTCTTCACCACGGTGGCTCTAGAGGGCGGAGGAGGGAGTACATGGCGCAGATGATGAGGAAACAGGAGACGAAGATGACGGGGCGCTGGAGGGGGAAAAGGAGGAGGAAGATCAGGAGAGGGGGGCAGGGCGGATGAGAGGAGTCAGGGGAGGAGGATTTGGACGAGGAAGGGCGGAGGGGAAGAGGAACATGAAGGGACAAGGACATAGAATCGGACACTCCTCCTGCTCCTCCCTCCTCTTCCTCATCGCAGGAGTCATTCGACGCAAAGCTTGATGGTAACGACTCGGAACTGCACGCGGGATGCGACATCTTGTCGCCGAGTTTTGTCTCTGATGTGTATGATAAGACGATGACGCCAGAGGCCGACCAGTGCCCTGCTGCGAAACCAATGTCGTATTGATCCTCCTAATATACTTCACGACCCTGGTGCTCGAGAGAAAGACGGGGATGAGGCTCTAACGCCTGAAGCGTACCATCGTCTCGAGGCCCGCATCCGCAATATTTGGGAGAGAAAATAGCTGATGACCTCGTTTGTGTCTGTGGGCCCGTCAAGGGCCATGTCAAAAACCGCATCCGCATGAAGCTGCGCGGGGGAAGCCTCGAGGAGACATAACGCCTACTCATATAGTTGTTTCTCTGCCTCCGCTCCCTCTTCAGAGATGGTACTTGTATGTGGGAGGCTCAGGAGGGTGGTGGTGGTGGTGATGATGATGATGATGATGATGATGATGATGATGATGACGATGATAATGAGGATGCTGGATTTCGCAGATTCTTGCAATTCGGTCTCCGCCTCCACTGCCCTCTGCACCGCTTGGCCGCTTTTGTGGCGAAAATGCTCTGGTCCGAGGGCCAAGCGCCTGCTGATGAGCATTCGTGTTGATTTCAGGGAAAGAAACAATGACATTTACATAAAAACTCGGAGGTCCGCGCGGACTTCTCGGATCTGCGCTTGACCCCCCTGCCTGGCGCGCGGAGCGCGCCAGGGGCGGCGCCGCTAGGGGAGCCCAGCGCCGATCCGAGGAATCCTGGCGGACCTCCGAGTTTCTATGTTTATGTCGTTGTTCGTTCCCCGATATTTGAAACATTGACTGTCGAGCTTGCCAGCTGGTTTGTCCCTGCGCAGCTTCGTCGCTCTTTTGGCGTCCTTCGCCGGTCCCTGCCCGGTTCGCCTCTCCGGCCTTCGCCTCACTCGCTGGTCGGGCCATCTCTCTCCGTCCCCCATCGCCGCTGGTGCTTGACGTCAGCCCACGTCCAAGCAGATTCCTCCTCGCCCTCGCCCTCGTCCTCGTCGTCGCTGTCGTCGTCGTTGTCGCCCTCGTCGTCGTCGTCGTCGTCGTCGTCGTGGTCGTCGTCGTCGTCGTGGTCGTCGTCGTCTTCGTCTTCGTCGTCGTCGTCGTCGCCGTCGTCGCCGTCGTCGCCGTCGCCGTCGTCGCCGTCGCCGTCGTCGCCGTCGTCGCCGTCGTCGTCGTCGTCGTCGTCGTCGTCGTCGCCGCCGAGGGGCGCAGAGGGAGCCGAGGTCGGGGGGCCGCGCCGGGGCGGGCTGCTCTTCTCCTCGCCGAGGATGAGGCAGGCGAGCGCGTCTGCCCCGGGGGCGCGCGCGGCGGCGCGAGGCGGGGGGAGGTCTTAATTAGCAGGAAATCAAAAAAGCCTGCAGGGTCTGGAGAGCCCCCCCCCTCCCCCTCTCCCTCTCCCTGCCCCCTCTACAATTACACAATATGAATACTACTCTCCCACTTCCCCTGATGGCGTCCGGAAGATGTTCGGCACCCCCCTGCGTACTGTTTTTTTACACACAGGATTCCCCGGAGTTGGGTTTTCGCTTGTGTTTTTTTTCTAAAATGCTGCTCTCGCTGAGGCGCTGGCCTAATTTTCGGGCTCCCGCTCCTTCCGAATCGTGTTCCCGCTGCAGCGCTGGCCTCATTTCCGCGCTCCCGCTCGTTCCGAATCGTGCTCCCGCTGCAGCGCTGGCCCAATTTCTGCGCCTCTCGTTGTTCCAAAACGTGCTCCCGCTGCAGCGCCGACGTTTTCGATCCTTTTTAAGAAGCCCCAAATCTAGAAAATGATCCCCGGCAAAAACATTGGAGGTGATTACACATCCGGTGTCGATTCGTTGATTTTTGGGGCCG